TGCTGCATAATCATGTGTGCATACACATACACACAGATACACACATGCCTGTGTATACACACAGACACACACCTGTGCACACACACACGCCTGTGCACACACACTCACACCTGTGCACATACACACATGCACACCTGTGCACACACACACACTCACACCTGTGCACACACACACACCTGTGCACATACACACAGACGCACACACCTATGCAGATACACACAGACACACATGTGTGCACATACACATGGACACACACCTATGCAGATACACAAAGACACACATGTGTGCACATAAACATGGACACACACATACACACACACACACACACACACACCTATGCACATACACATACACCTGCATGTTCCCAGCAAGAATCAGTTATTCTTAAATAGAGAAAAATACTGCTGCTCTGTAGTCTACAGCGTGACAGACAAGCTCAGGGCTCTGAGTCGCAGGCGATGTGGGCAGAGTCATGTGCTCATCTGCCTCCCTCCCTCCTCCCTCCTCTCCCTCCCTCCTTCCTCCTCTCCCTCCTCCCTCCCTCTATCTCTCCTCCTCCCTCCTCTCCTTCCCTCCTCCCTCCTCTCCCTCCTCCCTCTCTCCCTCCTCCCTCTTCCCCCTCCCTCCTCCCTCCCTCTATCTCCCCTCCTCCCTCTTCTCCCTCCTCCCTCTTCCCTCCTCTCCCTCCTCCCTCCATCTCTCCTCCTCCCTCTTCTCCCTCCTCCCTCTTTCCCCTCCTCCCTCTTCCCTTCTCTCCATCCTCCCTCCCTCTATCTCTCCTCCTCCCGCCTCTCCTTCCCTCCTCCCTCCTCTCCCTCTCTCTTCCTCCCTCCTCCCTCCTCTTCCTCTCTCCTCTTCCCCTCCTCCTTCCCTCCCTTCCTTTCTCCCATCCACCTTTTTATCCATCCAGTCGCTCACCCCTCTTTCACTCATTCATGCTTCCTAAGTTTTCTCATTTCATCCGTTCACCTGACATCCCACTGGGCCCTTCCTGAGTGCCAGGTATTGTCCTATGCCCTTGGGTCACTTAGAAGACTGCCACGGTATCAAAAGGTTTTCTCTAAAACAATCCGTATATTTTCTGGGAGGGATAAAGGGAAGCACATAATTCTGAAACTTTCTGACTGAGTTCTTAGGGTAAAACAAAATGCTAAAAGAGCAACTAATGGCCCCACATGGGCTAAATTGATTAATTGTAGGTAACTGTTGAGTCAGGCTTTGAGGGATGAGTAGGAGTTTGCCAAGGGGACTAGATGGGGAAATAGCACCAGCTGAGGGAAGCGCCACATCTTTGGGGGCACTAAGATTCCAAAGGCTAAGAGTAAGCAGGGACATCCTCACGCAGAAAGACCATACGCTGGTCAAATCCTTGATCTGTGAGCTGCAGACATGCCAGGAGTTCAACGTCAGCCAGAGACCTCACCGGCCAAGGGCATCGGCACTGACCTCCCAACACCAGCCAGCAAGCCCCAGAGGTTCTCGCCTGCAGCTCTGACCCTTCTTCCCCGGGGACTTACGGGAGGTGTATGGGAGACGGGAGGAGAGGTACACTCACTGTGAAAAGAAAACTAGGGGTTTGGGAATAAATCATCTATTTCAGAGTTTATGTGCTGATTTGCTTTTTACACTTTCATCTGAAAGAGTGATAGGGAAAGGGAACAAGGTTGGTGCTGCTTGGTTTGAAGCCGGTGCTCTTCCTCGCCACGGCTGTGTGCTGGGAGCCTGCGGCCTCCCTGGACTGAGCCTGGCGCTGTGCGTGGGGCGGTTCTGCTGTCTCATCCTGGCACATCGTTTTTAAACTGATGTTTTCTATATTAACATTGTTATGGATATTAGGCTTCCAGGGCCCACACGCTGATATGCTACGCGGGAAGCCCATGCTGCAATCAAAGGGATTTTGAGCAGCGCCCTGAGCGAGCACCGGAGTGTCAGTCCCATGCCTTTTCCGTTCCGTCAGGATTGTGGACAAAGAGACATGCTGAGATGCGTCCTTGTGCCAAAACCCTAGTCCCTCTCAGCAACACCTCGCACAGAAGCAAACACAAACATGTTTAACAGGGTTTTTCCTTTTTTAATGTTTTATTTAACCCTCCATTGTGTGTTTAAGTATTTTATTCCCTCTCTCTCTCTCTCTCTCTCTCTCTATTTTTCCTTAAAAGAGAAACTCACCAAGAGTAACTGGCTATGTTACTATTGTTAAATTTATGTTGTTTTGCAACTCAGAAACCAGCTACAGTATGGCCCGGCTCACATAATAAAACACCTGAAACAAAGTCAGGAGGGGGAGAACTTGTGTAAGGGACTGAGGAGCAGGCACTAGATTCTCAGTGTCGAGAAATCTGGAAACATGTCCAGAGCCTTGGAAACACAGGCCTGGAAGAAGCAGGAGCCAAATTGTGCTGGAGCGTGGGCATCCTTGCCGGGATGGCTTGGGGCCAGGAGTGCTTTGGACTTCGGATTTTCTTTTGCATTTCGAAATACTTGCATATGCAGAATGAGATATCTTGGGGATGAGACCCGAGTCTAAACAGGAAATCCTTTTATGTGTCATCTACCCCCTCAGACATATACCCTGAGGGAATTTGAAACGATCATTTTGTATTGCAGGGTTTGGACTGTAGCCTGTCACAGGGGTTGGGCGAGGAATTTTCTACGTGTGATATCGTGTCTACAGAGATTCCAGAGCATTTCAGATTACAGGTGTTCGGCACAGGGCTGCTCAGTGACCGCCCTGGTTGCGGAGACATTACAGAGGCTGAGGGGTGGCCAATCCCTGGGAATGCCGTATCTACGTGGTCACATCTCTGTTGCACAAAGACTAATTTCCGCTTGTTGGAGCAGGGAAACTGATGATCTTGGCCAGTTTACCCCATTTATTCATTTATCTATTTTGAGAGATTTTGGCTATAGGGTGCATGTGCTCACCAGAGACAGAGACAGACAGAAAGCGAGAAATTACCACAATCCCTTCTCCTCCATTTCCTTCCTGGGGTCTTGGGCATGCACACACATGCACCTGGTGTGAGTTATTTTTTGTCACCAGGTCTAGGACTCAAACCATGGTTGGCTGACTACATGAGAGTCCAGTGCGTAGCTACTGTGCCATGTACTGGTTCAGTTTGCCCAATTTTTAAAACAAACATGGCTTCCATGTTTTCGTTTTGTTGGATCATTAACTTAGAGTGAATGCCGCACAGCCCTGACTCCACTATGGCCACTCCGTGGGGCCAAATGGTCACAAATGTGGATTTGCTTAGTGAAGCCCTGGGTGTGAATCTTGACTGCCACAAACTTGGGTGAGTGCCTTAATGTCTCTGGACCTCCATTTCCCTAACAGGAAAATGTGCAGCCTCTCAGATGTGCACCTTATGAAAGCACGTGCATGCAGCTCCCATGCACACTCCACGTGCTCCGCACACAGAGTATTACTGGTTCTGTACTGGGCAGCGCTCTTGCCACCATGCTTCCCTCTGTGAACACAGCTGTTGGGTAAGAGACTACTTGGGGGATGCTGTGAAAAGATTCACAATTCACAAAGCCAAATACAGACAATGCCGCAAGGTGGAAATCGGCTTTGAAGAGGGACCTCCAACAAGAGGTGTCCCAGGGCAGAGCTGGGCCTGGAGAACAGACCATCCCGGAGCCAGAGCTCGGCTTGGGATCACCAAGGCCGAAAGCAGCAGACCCGCGTCAAGTGCCCGGACGTGCCCTGGGCCAAGGTGCCCAGTTATAGATAGATGCAGCTAGTTTCAAGGCAAGTGAGATAACAAAATGGAGACAGTGGAAGCCATCTTCATCTCTCGGCTGGGCGAGGGGACCGTGATAGTGCCAGGGCCTCCCCAAGCACTGAGGACGCCAGATGCCGTACCCGGAGAAGAGATGAATAACATCGTGTTTGGGTTCCTCCAAAAGTGCTAGGGGTTCACCTGAGAGGTGCCCGCTGGCAGAGGAGGGTCAGGGGCTAGAAAGAAGGGCAGAGACTAGAGGATGGTGTGAAGCCAGTCACCCTGGCAGCTACGGCCCCTGCATCCAGCCGGGTACCTGGCCTAGGGCACTCTTCCATCACTGCAAGGCTGCTCCTGGGCAGCAGTAACTCCCTGGCCTACTCTGCGTGCTGTGCACACAGGCAGAGCAGCCTCCTCTGGTAAAAGCCCTCAGACACAGAGACGCAGATGCCGGCATCTGTAAGTCAGCAGGGCACACTGGCAGGGCTGGGTCCCTGGGAGTGGGCAGGGCACGGCAGCCCCTGCCAGACACCTGCTCCTGACCTCACATGGCTCACTGCCTGGTACAGACTAGGGAGTGCTAGAACTAGACTCCAGACAGTGCAGGACAGAGAGAAGGGGCACCACTCCCAGCAGGCACCGGCTAGAAGGCAGAACTGCAGTCCTGGAGCAGCCCCCACGCTGGGCGCGGAGAGGAGAAAGCCTTCCCGGAGATGATGCATTTTAAGGCCTTAGTAGGACACCTGGCTGCAGGAGGATGGATGGATGTCCAGCACGATCAGAATGATGGGAGGCAGACAGCCACCAGCCTTCACGCTGTCCTACGTGGAGTCGGTCTTTGAGGCTTGGTGGTATTTGTTTGCGCCGCTGGCTCTGCAGTCACATGTCCCTTTGTTCTCCCCGCATTGATCCACTCATATATTTATAGCTCCGATTCCTTCTCTCCTTCACTCCCAAACCCGTTTATTCACTCTCACGCGCACTTTGCCAATCATTTGCTTACTCACGCACTGACTTCTTTACAAATCCATTCATCCCAATGCATTACTGAGCGACTCCTATCGGCATCGTGGCCTGCCAGATGACACAGGTGCATGCTCACGTTGGGAGGTGGGTGGATGAGCACCACCGCCTACACAAACCCTCCTATCAGCACTTAGAGAAAAGGCAGAAATGAGAAGAGGCTCGGTGAGGCTGCCCCTGAAGCCATGGGGTCACGCTGAGGCCCAGTAAAGCACACACAGAGCCAGCTGACCGGCGGCTGTCCCCGCTCACCTGTGATCTCCTTGGTTCCTCCATTGGTGTGCTTGAAGCGATCTCCTTCCACCCGCACGCTAGGGCACAGCACATCTGAGAAGGAACAGAGGCTGATGAGAAAGTGACCCACAGTCACACTGAGAAATGAGACAGCAGACGCACCCCAGCCCCCTTAACGGCACGTGGGGTGCTCCGAGCCTGTGCAGACGCAGCAGCGGCCACAGCAGCCCATTCTTGTCAGTCTTTTCACTTCCTTGTGGACTTGCTCTGCATCGACGCTGCAAGCACTGCGCTCTGTACCAGGGCCAGACGCCAACTCGGCTTTGTCCCTGTCTACAGAGAACCACAGCCTTGGCCGTCAGAGGGAGTCGGACATGACCAGCAATACTATCAACCCAGGGTGATAAGTGATCAAAACATGGACCGGCTGCTGCAGAACTCAGGGCCAGCAGAGATCTGGGGAGGTCAGGGAAGCTTTCCTGAAAAGATTCCTCTTAAAAGATCAGTAAGAGTTAGTCAAATGGTCCAAACAATAAAAGGTGATACAGACCGAGGGGACCTCGTGTTTATAGGCATGCACACAGATAGGACAGGTCCAAGGGGGTGCAGAGTCGAGGAATGCAAACGGTGAAACCAGACAGGTCTCGCGAGCCAGCCCAAGGAGTTCCAGGTTCGAGTCCAGGAGAAAACAAACTCCAGAGGAAGCTAAGCTCTCAGTTACCCAAAGCAAGAGACTAAGTCACAGAATTAAAAAAGTGTATTAAACTATATTATATATATGCCTTATCTTAATGTCCTCATGAGTCCTCACATGAAAGGAAATAATTGGAAGGATAATGAACCATTTCAGACTCTCTAAAATCTCAGGAAGAGAATGAACTGAACTTAAATGTGCTGGGTTGGAGGCCGGCTCTGCGACAGGCCAGCTCACTGGCCATGTACAAGCACTTGTCCACAGGCAAGGTCAGCATCCTGGCTGTGAGTGTTGCCCCCTTCCAAAAGAATGTCCACCCTTTCTGTGCTTGTGGTCTTGCAGTCTGGACTCAGGAATCAGGCTCCCACCCCCAGCCACCCCCTTGGGCAGATCTGACTGTCCATGAAGCAATTTGGTTATCACAGATTTCTCTTTGTTTATTAATTAATTAATTTACATTTCCAGAGGGTGTGTGCACCTGCCAGAGAGAGACAGAGAGAGAGAGAAAGCGGGAGCAGGCACCCTACAGTGGGCCGTGGTCTTGCCACAGTCCCTTCTCCTTTTCTACATCTTGTCAAGGTCTGGGGCATCTGTGCACACGTACCTGGTGTGTTTTTCAAGCCACAGGGACTGGGATTCAAACCGTGGTTGGCCATGTGGGATCTGGCTCCCTTAACCCCTGGGCCCCAGGGCTGGCTGGCATTTTTTATTGCACTTTCTGGTTTACATATGATCATTGCACATCTTTGCAGGGTGCACTAAGGGTTTCAAAGCATGCACACAGAACGTAATAATCAAACCGTGGAAACAAACATTATTATAATTACATCGCATTTGGCAGTTCTGCCACCCCATCACTCCCGGCGTGATGGTCTCTTCTCATACTTGGGGGTGTAACTGGTTCAGTGTGAGAATGACCTGGGCCCCTTACCCCATCAGCAGTGAGAGGAACAAATGAGATCTTTCCTAATTTGGGAGAAGGTATTTTAGTGTTTATCCCAGAAGGCACCAGTAGTCTGATAAGCCCCGTGGAAAGGGTTATTTTGGAAATGGCACCGAGCTGTCTGTCTAGGACTAAATACGAGGGGGAGGCAGACGCTGCTCAGTGCAGGCAGCCCCACCCAGCACCGAGGCAGCTGTGGGGTGGCAATCGATTGCTTAACATTGGCAGCCAGCCAGAGACAGCCTGGGGACTGCGTGTCACTTAAATGAGTTTAAAATTCAAAATGAGTTGACTCAGAAGGTTCTATCCTTGATTATGAGCAAACCTCTGGAGGCTGAGGGCTGGAGCTCAGAGAAGGCTGTGCTCCCAGTCATGTCTCTGCAAATATCCCGAGAGGAAGCCCCATTCTCAAATCCAGACAGCAAGGCCGTGAACACAGGAAAAATGGAGGCTCTTTTCAAAGATGTTAAAACTTGCCCAAACAGCCTTAAGAACTAATTCTCAAAACAGCCCACAAATTCCCCTTCGGGGCCATCACTAAGCTTCATAGTTCAAGAGGCTCTGAAGGCAATTTATACTTGACTTGGTTAAGATGGGACAAATGGCCTCCCAAAAGCTCCCTCCAGCCAGGCTTCCCAGGGATCCACCTGCTTACTTGGCAGGAAGGTAGAATTCTCAGGCAAATCCCCTCTTAGCCTAGAAGTCATTTTCAGATTCCTTTTTGGCCAAGATATCTCTATACCTTGACAATGGTCTGTTTATTTCCACACTCACTTATTTACTCAATCTGAAATGTCTGCTGAGCTCCAGGGACTTCCATGCACTGAGCTAGATCTAGGGACTCAGAAACGAGTAACAGCTAAGTCAGAGTCCCTGCCATCAGGGCACCAAACATGGAAAGGCAAGACAGTGTCAGTACTGTCGCCTCCTCCTTAATCTGAAGCTCTTCAGCCTGCGACATCCTGGGCCTGTTCCCATTCACCCCTGTCTGGGGGAGGAGCCCATCCTCAGAGCCAGAGTTTGAGGGCTGATGGCAACACAGTGCAGCCCTGATGGGCAGAGCTGCCTCCCCAGCAAGCTGGGGGGCTTCCCTCTCTGTAGGCCTCTGTCTTTACTGCTCCAAGCCTGCAATGGGCCTTCCCTTCGTGATGAACAAAAATGCCCCCGGTGCCTGAGCTGAGAAGTAGGTGTGACCACTGGACCAGGACACCTTCCAAGATGGAGTCCACTGTGGTTTTGACAAGCCAGTGAGATTTCCTGGGCTCTTAGGCCACTGCCACAGAGCTGGAGCTGACACCATGCATTATCAGCCTAGTGTCTGTTCCTTACTTTTTGCTACAGTACCACTTTAGGGACCAGCAGATGGCATAGCAGTTACATCGTTGGACTCCCACATGGCTGACTGCAGTTCAAGTCCCAGACCCAGTGACTTCAAAATCATGCCAGGTGTGTGTGTATGCATGTGCCTAAGATCCTGGGAGGAGAATGGAGAAGGGATTGTGGTATGGCCATGCCCTCTCTCTCACTGTCTCTTTCTTTGGCAAACACACATACCCTAAGGCAAAAACCTCTTTAAAAAAATGCCACTTTAGTTCAAAACAGTAGACCTTTTGGCCTAAAGGAAAAAGTTGTAGCTGACTGCTCTAAACCAGTTATGGTTATTCTGTTCCTCAAATTTTCAGACTTGCAGCTGAGGATGGATATGTGACCCTGTTCAGGCCAAGGGATCAAATAACAGAAGCTGGCTGTGACTGGGGGAAGGAGCTTTGGACTTTCTTGATGTAAGGAGACACAGATACAGATGGAATGGGGTGGGCATGCTGTGTCTGGGGGAGGAGCCCATCCTCAGAGCCAGAGTTTGAGGGCTGATGGCAACACAGTGCAGCCCTGATGGGCAGAGCTGCCTCCCCAGCAAGCTGGGGGGCTTCCCTCTCTGTAGGCCTCTGTCTTTACTGCTCCAAGCCTGCAATGGGCCTTCCCTTCGTGATGAACAAAAATGCCCCCGGTGCCTGAGCTGAGAAGTAGGTGTGACCACTGGACCAGGACACCTTCCAAGATGGAGTCCACTGTGGTTTTGACAAGCCAGTGAGATTTCCTGGGCTCTTAGGCCACTGCCACAGAGCTGGAGCTGACACCATGCATTATCAGCCTAGTGTCTGTTCCTTACTTTTTGCTACAGTACCACTTTAGGGACCAGCAGATGGCATAGCAGTTACATCGTTGGACTCCCACATGGCTGACTGCAGTTCAAGTCCCAGACCCAGTGACTTCAAAATCATGCCAGGTGTGTGTGTATGCATGTGCCTAAGATCCTGGGAGGAGAATGGAGAAGGGATTGTGGTATGGCCATGCCCTCTCTCTCACTGTCTCTTTCTTTGGCAAACACACATACCCTAAGGCAAAAACCTCTTTAAAAAAATGCCACTTTAGTTCAAAACAGTAGACCTTTTGGCCTAAAGGAAAAAGTTGTAGCTGACTGCTCTAAACCAGTTATGGTTATTCTGTTCCTCAAATTTTCAGACTTGCAGCTGAGGATGGATATGTGACCCTGTTCAGGCCAAGGGATCAAATAACAGAAGCTGGCTGTGACTGGGGGAAGGAGCTTTGGACTTTCTTGATGTAAGGAGACACAGATACAGATGGAATGGGGTGGGCATGCTGCTCTCCTTCCTCCTCTCTGGAGCATAAGACCTAATGTTCAGGAGACTGTTCAGGAAACCAAGATATAGGGTCTCTAAACCAGCAATCCCAAGTCTACATGAAGAGCACAGGAAAATAAACTTCCACTTGTCGAAGCTACTGTAACTGGGTTTCCTTTACTTGCATCTGAGTGCCTTCCAAAATTGCATGCATTCCCCATGTTGAGCAGCACTGAAAAGCCAGAGAAAATGACTGGAAGGCCAGATTCTCTTTCTGAGTGCCTGAGGACACCCAGAACTGATGCATTAATTTCCTGGTAAAGGAGCTGTGAAAGATTGGGATACTGTCACTATCCCGATTAATGTGGATTTATCAGGTGATCATTTGGGATCGAGATAAGATGCAGTTTGGGAATGAAAGACAGGGATAAGCTCACGGGAATCAATATGTGTATCTAAATTGCTCTTGGTTGGTTGGTTGCTTTTCCATTTTGAAAGCACAGTAACTCAAAATCAGAAGTGGCTGACTGCAAAAACCCTGCTCCCTAGGCGATCCTTCACTGTCTCACTGTTGACGTTCGTTTTCCTTCATTCTTTAGGAACATCCTCGACCTCTGGAGAGGGAAAATCTCTTCACATGGGATGGGTTCTAGCTCACCTGGATGATCAGAGCTGCTGCTCCAAGAGGGAACATCGGGAGCCTACTATAGCCTCTCTGGGAACAAAGCCTCGTTGTCCACTGCCTCCATTTGCTCAGGGGTGTTTGTATGGGGGGGCGGGGAGAGCGTGTGCACAGGGTGGTCCCTGGTGTCCTCAT